TAAATGTCAAAATTAAATTTACCATCTGCCTTGCCTCCCAAACTGTTACTTCTCCTGAATTTTCCACCACAGTAAATGTTATCATCATTTACCAAGTTACCCAAGCAAGTGCTTAGAAGTCATCACACTTTCCTTTCCATTCCTATACCTCCGATCCACCAAATCCACCAGTGGCCTGTCAATTTTACTAGTTCAGTCTGTTTCCTGTCTATCCATTTACTTCTACCTCCTCTGCTACTACATCAGTCCAGGTCCTCATCACCTTCCACAAGCTTCCCAAATATTCTCCCTGCTGCTATCTGTTCTCCATGTCACTATTGCAGTGTAGGAGATTACAGGGTATGGCTTTTCTAGCCATAGTGTTTGTAACTCCCACTTTGCCATGAGCAATTGGGTAGCTGATTGTTAAAGTTACCCACCTGGGGTATTTCTTTTGGGAGCAGCATAAGCAATCTGGGAAGTTTGCTTTCTCTCAGGTGTGTAGAACTCTGATGTTGGGATTGGTTGGTTTTGGCATCTCTACCAGGCTCAAAAGGAACCCTCCTAGAGGCAGAAGGAGGCTCTCTGACTGCTGGCTGAGAAAGACATGCTGCTGAGAGAAACATACTGCTGAGAGACATGAGAGAGAGGTGCTGCTGAGAGAGCTGCTGTAAGAGACTGCTGGCTGAGAGACTGCCAGCCGAGAGAGACTGAGCCAGTTCCTGAACTTGAATTGTAGCCTGTTGCTTCCTTAATAAACCCCATCATCTGTGAGTTCTGTGTGGTCACAGCAGCGAATTACCAAACTTAGCAGAGAAGTGGTGGGTGCTGCAGGAGGGACGCTTGGTGTCAAGGTTAGTAAGAGGGCTGGAGGGTAGCAGCATGTCCGGTGTCACAGGAGCAGGCCTTGGGCTGCTCATGGTGATTCTATCTTCCTCTTGTGTAGTTAAAGGAGGTCAGAAGATGCTGCCTCCTTTCCCCTTTTGCAACTATTAATGTTATTTTTCAAAATGCAAACCTACTTAAAACTTTCTGATAGTGCTTTGCCATTTTAGGGAAAAAGTTCAAGGTCCTTAACATAGAACCAGGCCCTTAACTCTAGCCCTGTGGACCTTTTCAACATTACTCTGCACCATTGCAGATAGACCCCTTATGTTGAAATCCCAGCAAATGATTTGCTGTTTTGCAAATGGACCATGTTCTCTCTCCCTCCTTTGCCTTGATGAAATGTTCCCTCATTTGAAGTGTTCCCATTTGCTCCTTGTCTGCCTATGACACTCCTATTAGTTCTTTAAGACTCACTCCTTCTCAAACACCTCTGGGAAACAGTGAGGGAGTCCACTTTAAGCTCAAAGGCAGTAACAGTGGTGTCTTCTCGTGTTTCACGGGACCCTGTGCGTACTTCCATCAAGACACTTGCCGCATAGCATTTTAATCCTTGTTTTATATGTCTCGTCCCCCCACAGTACTGCATATTTCTTGAGGAGAGGAACTGGGTCTTTATTTTGTATCCCCAGGCCACGCATAATATCTGTTGCTTAGTAGGTGTTCCATAAGTTGCTGCTGATTAAAGGGTAAGGGTACTTGATTCTTTTACCCACCACTCATCTGTCAGTTTGTTGTAGAGTGGGGGATTGTGTATTGCTGTGGTGTTAGAAGCTATGTCAGTAGTAATTCAAATACCAGCAGAGTCACCCATGATGGACAAGTTTCCGTGGAGCTTCCAGACTAAGATACATTAGAAAAACAGGACTGGTGATTTACTTCCAAAAATTAGTCAATAAAAACCCTATGGATCACAACAGAGTAGTGTCCAATATAGTGCTGGAAGATAAGCCCGTTAGCTTGGAAGATACTCAAAATACATTGTGACTGCAAAAATGGACTTGATTATGAAAATGGTGCAGGACCAAGAAATTCTTCATGCTGTTGCACATGGGATTGCCATGAGTTCGACCTGACTTGAACAGCTAACAACAACAATATCAAATTTTGCTCAGGCAAAATAATTCTTTCTTTCTGTATTTTAAAATCCTTCTGATTTCCTTTAAATCTAATTCATCTGAAAACAAACAGCAAACCCTTCTTCCATCTTAGCCCCTCTAACTATTGCTTTAAACTCTAACCTCCTGTTGATTATTCAATGAGTTGAAATTTGACTTTTACTCTATCACTCCAGTAAAATTATTCTTATTAATGATACCAGTTGCTTCCCAATTGCAAAACTCAGTTGTTATCTTAAGTGAATACTCTTCAGAATTTCAGTGTTGACCTCTCAACACTTGTTTTTTTTTTTGGTATCATTTTCCATGGCCCACGTCTTCTCTGAACACTCCCCAGTTATTCCAGTCTGCCTTTGCTTAAATACTGGTGTCCCAAGGAAGCCATTATTAGTTATTTTGTCTTCTCATTCTTCCTGGGTAATTTCATCACACTCTTCAGTATGTGAATTTCATCACACACATCTTCAGTGACTACCTACACACCCAATGACCCTACATTTTGACCATCAGAACTCTTTTTCCAACTTGTAATAACCTCTATGATTTATAGTACTCTCACATTTTCCATGTTAAAGTTGAATTTAGTGTCCTTCTTCAAATTAGGCTCCTCTTTTATGTTTCCCTTGGAGCTCTGGTGGTGTAGTGCCTAAGGCATTTGACTACTAATCAGAAGGTTGGTGGTTCAAACCTACCAGCCACTCTGCAGAAGGAAGATGGGGCAATCTATTTCCATGAAGATTTACTTTGTAAATATTTTTTTATCTGTGAAGATCTCAAAAGCTTGAGGGAGAGAGCCTTAGAAACCCAATGGGGGTTGCTATGAGTCACAGTAGACTCGATGGCAGGAAGTTTGATTTTTTTTTTTTTATGTTCCTATTCTAGTGACTCAGCAGTAGATTCAGGAATAGAATTATGAGTATCATAACCTTGTCCTTCCTCCAGGTTTAGATACTATACTACACAGTTAACAAATTCCCAGGAAAAAATTATCCTCCCTATATGTTCCAAGTTGGCTTTTGTATTAGTTTTCTACTGTGGTGTAACAAATTAACACAAATTTAGCAGCTCAAAACAGCATACATTTTTTATCTCACAGTTTCCATGGGTCAGGAATCCATGCATGGCTTAGCTGGATTCTCTGCTCAAGGTCTCATAGGCTGCAATTAAGGCGTTGGCTGGGGCTAGGATTTCATCTGAGGCTTTGGGTCCTCTTCCAAGCTCCTGTGGTTGTGGGAAGAATTCATGTCCTTGCAGCTGTAGAACTTGTGACAGCTTGGTTTCTTAATGCCAGTAGGAGAGAGAATCTCTGACTTCTTCACCTTCTTTTAAAGGTCTCACTTGCTTAGCTAGGTCAGGTTTATCCAGTATAATATCCCTCTCATTAATTCAAAGTCAACTGATTAGGCACCTTAATTACATCTGCAGAATATCTTTACCTTTGCCATATAATGTAACATAATAATGGGAGAGCCTATCTTATCACCTTTGACATATTCTATTGCTTAAAATCAACTTACAGGTCTTGCCCACACTGAAGGGAAGGGATTAAACCAGAGCATGGGTCATTGGAGCTCAGAATTCTGTCTATCACGGCTATTAAAATAAAAAAAGTTATGTCATATACCAAGAAATGTTTATAATTTTGGGATTTAAAAAGGTTGAATGCAAAGAAGAAAAGTATGTAAATTTAATTTAAAATCTCAAAGTTTAGTGGAAATGGCACATATTTTGAAGGTGGAGAATTTTTTTTTTTTTTTTTTTTTTAATCTTTATGCTATCTTACACTTACTGCCTTGGGCAGGAGATATACCCAAGTATGAACACTTAGCACAGCACAGTAAGGATTGTGAGGATGGTATAGGACCAGGCAGTGTTTCGTTTTGTTGTACATAGCGTTGCTATGAGTCAGAGCTGACTCGAAGGCACAGAGCAACAATAACAACAACATGTACACTTTAGATCACATTACATATATCTAAAAAGAATAATTAAAGAAGAAGTTCAGAAAGACAGATATTTAATTGCGTACTAGCTCAACTTGAGAACCACTTTAAGATGGGTGAATCTGATTTATATTAGGAGAGAATAAATATAATTACATGTCTATAGGTAAATTACATGGTTTTTCCCAGCTTCCATTAATTCAACTTTTCCTAATAAGTTTTTTTTTTTTTTTTTAAATATCTTCAGCAGTTAGACTGTGGTTGTATTAAAGGTGCTTAGTCTTTCCTTAGGAGCTCTGGTAGTGTAGTGGCTAAGACACTTGCCTGCTAACCAGACGGCTGGCGGTTCAAACCCACCAGCCACTCCTTGGAAGGAAGGTTGGGCAATCCTACTTCCGTAGTGATACTGCCTCGGAAACCCAAGGAGGAGTCGCTATGAGTTGGGGCCGACTCGACGGCACATAACAACAACAACAATCTTTCCTTGGGAGCTCTGGTAGCATAGTGCCTAAGGCACTTGACTGCTAACCAGAAGGCTGGCAGTTCAAACCCACCAGTCACTCCTCAGAAGGAAGGTTGGGCAATCTACTTCTGTACTGATACTGCCTCGGAAACCAAAGGAGGGGTTCCTGTGAGTCGGGTCCAACTTGACGGCACATAACAACAGCAACAACAATCTTTCCTCTGGTGGCACAGTTGTTAAGGCATTTGGCTACTCATCAAAAGTTCACAGTTCAAACCCACCAGCCACTCCGTGGCAGAAAGATGTGGCAGTCTACTTTCATAAAGATTTACATTCTTGAAAACCCCATGGGGTAGTTCTACTTTGTCCTAGAGGATCATTATAAGTTGGAATGGACTCCATGGCAGTGGGTTCGATGTTTTGGAATCTTTCCTTAGGATAGGTGGTCCAGGTATTTTTAAAAATTGTTTTCTTACAGTTTTACAATGACAGATATACAGAAGTTTCCATATCAATGACTTTTCCCTTCCTGGTCCCACATGAGAACAGGGTGTACTCTGGCTCCTTTTTTCTGTCATGTATCAGAGAGAGAGAGAGAGCTGGGGTTAATGCAAAGGCTGTTAAGGTTTGAAATGTACTAAGAGTCCTGTCAGCACTTTAGGTCCTGCTCCTCAAGGACAACTATTCCACTGGTATTTAGGGGAAAAAATGATTTGGTGACTTTACTGACATTTGCAACAGTAACACAATGCACATTGTATATAATCAGTGTTTAGTCATACTTATAAATCCTACAGATATGTGGTTACTTCTCTACTTTCCCTCTCTTTTGCTTGGGCAACTGCCACGTTGATGCACTGGAGCCACTCTTCCGCATTCTTCTCATCCTTGGCCTTGAAAACATAGGTCTTATTGTCTGTGAAGATCTCAAAAGCCCGAGGGAGAGAGCGGTCCCTACGCTTCTTGGCCACAACTTTCACGCTCTGCACTTTGCTGAGTTCTATCGGGCAGTCATCAGGATCATCTTTCTGAAATGCATGGGAAGTAAAGAACATGAGCTGGCTCCCAGTGTAGCAAAGATCTATGGCTCCTAAGAATTTTATGAGAGAACCACAATCCTTTGTCTTTGTATGGTTCAAAACTTTTGTTAGTATAGTTGCTAAGGCCTCAAAGAGTCATTAGAACAACAACACAACGGATGACCAATGGCAAAAGATAGCCAATTTATAGAAATGTACCATGGAATTGGGAAAAGGCTTAATGCATGCTTCTTTGATTTTATGTCATCTATTAATACTATTATTATCTATTAATATTAATATTATATTAATAAAGCAAAATTCAGCAGTACAATTTGTAGTACTGGTGGTTCAGAATTTGATATAATATGGGAGGCATGAGATTGAATTTTTCTTTGTGTAATTCCTGGTGGAGTAGTGCCTAAGGCATCTGACTGCTAACCAGAAGACTGGTGGTTCAAACACACTGGCCACTCCTCAGATGGAAGATGGGGTAATCTATTTCCGTGGTAATACTGCCTCAGAAACCCAAGGAGGTGTCACTATGAGTCGGATCCAACTCGATGGTAGTGAGTTTGAACCTCTGGGTTTGCTAAGCCCTTAATAGAGTAAACAGGGTTCCAATATTTAAGTAGATAAAACTGTTTCTGAAAACCTCTAAAGCTTTGGAAGCATGATTTGCTTACAAACATGAAATAAAGGAATATTTCATGATCTCATACTTCTCTTCAACCAAGCAGAGTCTTATGGATCTCTGCAACACCAGTATTAACAGACTGGTAAGGATGGATAGTTTTGAAGAATCAGACAGGACAATTCTAGATCTTTCACTTTCCTAAATATGTTTTATCCTCTGGAGAATGGATCTGTGGTTGAGAATCTTGCCAATTCTCCTTTCCCATCTTTCCTGTCAGAATCACCCTTCTTTCACAATGGAGAGGCACCCTTCTGACTCATCGTAAACTTCCTATGGTATACTGTCCAACTTGCAAAAGTCTCAGGACCACAAAAAAAAAAAGGCAACTCATGTCAAGGGAGTGTCCTTCAACCAAGTCAACCCAATCACTCCCCATCTATATTATTAAGGGATGCTTTTCTAATAAAAGTTCACTTTTGAGTGTTTATTAATTATTCATTGTATTTTGTAATATATTTTTATATTTATGGCTTTTCATGAATTATACATCTATATGCACATATATATATGATAACTTGAGAAAAAAGTTTAACACTTAGAGACTTAAGGTCACAAGAAATTAAAATGATAAATTTCAACATATATACATATTTTTGTTGCAGTGAAAAATGATAGCATAATCAAGATAAAATGCAGGGTAGAAATGGAATGGAAATAGAATTTCAAAGTAAAAAAGAAAGAATATAACAATTTCTGTTAAATTAGTTATTCCATGTACTTTTAAAAACGGATGCTGTTGGGTATCAAATTGCTATGATATTTTATTCCAATGGTTACATTTAAAGGGGAAAAATAATCCTTTTATTCCAAAATGTCAATATTTATAATTCAACAAAAACTATAGTCTGTGTAATTGCTTAAATTTATGATAAAATGTTGATGGAACTTAAAATGATGTAAGATATTACACAGATTCCTTTCAAAATTCTTCCAGGGCATACATAGGATAAAAGCTCAAAGACATCTGTACTAAACAATGGTTTCTGAGTCCAATTTGAGTTGTAGTAAGAGCTTTGGAAGCATAGTGCCTAAGGCACTTGACTGCTAACCAGAAGGCTGGCAGTTCAAACCCACCAGCCACTCCTTGGAAGGAAGGTTGGGCAATCTACTTCCATAGTGATACTGCCTTGGAAACCCAAGGAGGGGTCGCTATGAGTTGGCTCCGACTTGACAGCACATAACAACAACAACAACTGACAGTAATAAAAATGCATTTCTTTGAATTCTTTTATGATATAGAAATTGATAAATTGAGGAAGTGATTGAGAAAAAAAGTTACTATCATAATTTGACCAGGGATAATGAAATCAAGTAAGATAGCAATGGGCAGAATAGTTAAAGGACATAATTGCTTGGTTGGCGGAGATCAACACCTTAAGAAGGCAGAACAAACTAAAACAAAAAACACTGTAGATATGTGTCATTTAACGTCCATTAGGCCAACTTTCAGGCCCCTGTCCATGGGCTGGGACACCCAGCTGTAAGTGCCAGGATGTCAGACTCTCCTCTTGCTGACTCAGCTTCACTTCTGCTTGGCTGTTGAGTGAGCCCAGAAGCTACCTAGTCTGTGGCAATGGAGGCTCAGGCCCAAACTCCATATCCCAGTCTCCCTTGGCTCTGGCAATTTCTGCAAGTCTAGTCCCCCAGTTTTGCCTGGTGTGGTCCATAGGGTGCTCATGGAAAGATATGTGCCCCAGGCGTCCCAGCCCTGGCTCAGGTGCCTTCCATCCCCTTGGTCAGTGCTGTTCCACTGCAGGTAGTTTCTCCCAGGTGACTTTTCCTTCCCTGCAGCTGGGGCAGTGACAATCTGGCAGGACCTGGCCAAATGCTCACCCGAGGTGAGGCAGTGGGAGCTGCTTGGGCTACACACCACACAGCCAGTGTCCCTACTCATGGGAGCCCCACACGTCAGGAATATAGATGTTCACACAATGTCCAAGTCACACAACATCCTATTTTATAGAAAGTAGCGTGGATGTTAAGCAAAAGATACCTATATGGTTTTCTGCCCCAGTTCTCATTTAAAAGGAGCCCCTGGGGGGTGCAAATGTTTAACATGCTTGGCTGCTAACTGAAAGCTGGTGGTTTGAGTGCACACAGATGAACGGTGGAAGAAAGGCCTGGTGATCTACTTCTGAAAAACCACCCATTGAAAACATGATGGAGCACCGTGCTACTCTGACACACATGGGGTTATCATGAGTCAGAGTCGCCTTTACAGCATCCTTTTTTTTTTTTTTCTCATTTAAAAACTACACATTTCTTTCAATTATAAGAATGGTCCTTTCACTATGTGGCTGAGGCACCAGCAGGACTGCTGACCACTGCTAGATTACCCTGCCCCTGGAGGTTAGAGGTATTTTACTGTGGCCTTCATGCTATATTATATAATTTCTCAGTGTTTGAGCCATGTGTCCTGTCAGATTTCTGGAATGTCAAACCATTATTTCACGATAAAGATGTCAAACAAGTTAGCCAATTATAAAATAACTTACTCTTCAAATGTTATTAAAAAGCTTTGAGTCAAGAAGTATAAAGGTCATTACCTTTGTTCAGGAAAAACATTCTTACGGAGTAACTCTGCTTTGCCTCAAGGGGTCTGAGAAATCCTACATTTTCACTTCTATTTATAATTTCTCAAATGAAAACAGGAAATTCAGATGGTCATTTAAAACACTTTTAAAATGCCTCCATATGAACTTATGCTGAAAAAATAAAGTTTTTAATAACCTCCAATAACTGGCTAAATTAAACTTGCCATTGTACTTCCCTTTGAAAAAGATCTTCAGCCACAGAAAAGTCCATCTGTATATTTTATAACACACACTGGTAAAGAAAGAAGCATGAGGTCTGAGTCAGTGTCACAGAAAAGCAAAAAAATTAAATTCTAAAGCTAATACTAAGTCTTACTAATTAAGAGAGCAGTGGTCAGAAGTGGTCATAATTCAGAGACACCATACTTGATTCCTGCTGAGTGAAAAGTTGAAAGAAGTTTTAGAATGAAGACTCTAAAGATAGAGTGGACATACTTGGGGTGAATTGCAAATTTTAAGTAATTTAAAATCTTTCATTAATTAATTCAGACAGTTTAGTTTACCACCAGCTCCATAGTTTAAGTGAACATGGGAAATAGGACTGTGTACTATTTACGAACATGGCTTTGGTGTTGGGCTGCCTAAGCCTCACTAATTTCACCCTTCCTTTCCTTACTGTCTCTGACCTTGGACAAGTCAGTCAGTCTCTCTGAACCTCAGTTTTCTGCTCTATTAAATGGTAACAAGAATAGTATCAACATCATAGGATTATTCTGAGGATTATTTGAGGCACTCCAGTATGACATTTGATAAGCATTGAGTAAGTTCTAGCCATTATTATTATATTATAATATATTGTATTATATATAACACATTATGTATTTACTACATTGTTATAAGGTCTCTAGGTCATGCAAAAAAGCTCTGGTGGTGCTGTGGTTAAAGCATTGGGCTGCTAACCAAAAGGTCAGCAGTTCAAACCCACCAGCCACCCTGTGGGAGGAAAGATGAAGCAGCTCTGCTTCTATAAAGATTTACAGCCTTGGAAACCCAATGATCCAGTTCTTCTCTGTCCTATAGGGTTGCTATGGGTCAGAATTTACTCCATGGCAGTGGGTAGTGGGTTGAGTGGTACAAGTGGTATATGCTCAATTAATAATTAAAGGTTGGCAGCTCAGAACTGTGCAGTGGTGCCACAAAAGAAAGGCCTGGTGATCTGCTTCTATGAAGATTACAGCCAAGAAAACCCTGTGGCGCACAGTTCTATTCTGTACCACACGGGGTCACCTGGAGTCAGAATTGACTTAATGGCAACATGTATTATTATTATATTTAAAAATAAACAAGAAGTCAATATTTCATTCTCTCTGATCTTAATTGAAGGAGCTCTGGTGGCACTGTGGTTAAGGTATTGGGCTGCTAACAAAAATGTCAGTGGTTCAAAGCCACCTGCCACTCAGTGGGAGAAAGATAAGGCAGTTCTATAGCCTTGGAAACCCTTTAGGGATTGCTATGAGTCAGAATTGACTTGATGGCAGTGGGTGGGATCTTAAATGACTAGAGTTTAGTGATAAATAAAATTGATTTCAAAAGAAGGGAAGGGGATAGTTTTGTGTTGTTGGTTGGAATTGAATGTTATTTCAGAGGTTTCCCATTGAAAATTCAGAATATAGATATTTACTGAGCACCCTCAATCATTTAATTTAATCAGAATGAAAATGACATCATATTAAATGAATATAACATTTATGAATACAGTAGTATATTTCTCTAATCAGAATTATACTTTGTTGACTATAAAAGTTATTTAAGTCAACCTTCCTTCCTTCTTCCTTGCTACCATGCCCCTTCCTCAGATCTCCCACCTCCAAATATAACCTATAGTTATATATGAAATCAGAGTCACTATCACAAGTCATGCCTGTATGTAGGTGATTCATCAGGAAACAAAAGGCCTGGTGGTTGAGTCAAGAAAACTGCGTAGGTGCTCTGCAGCTTATCTTCTAAAGCTTAAGAAAAAAAGAAACCAAACAAACTTCCATAATAAATGAAGAGGAACAGTGATCAACTAACACAAGAATGAACATAATAGATAGTCAAAGGGACCTATGTAATAAAAGACCACACTGTAAGACTGTAAAATGGAGAGGGAAAATTATTGGAGTTTAAATTCAAGATAAAATGCCTAGATGGTTGGTAGAGATTCAACCAAATAACCAAACTCACTCACCGTTGAGTTGGACCCAACTCATAGCAACCCCTCGTGTTTCCGAGGCAGTATCACTACGGAAGTAGATTGCCCAATCTTCCTTCCAAAGAGTTGCTGGTAGGTTTGAACCGCCAGCCTTCTGGTTAGCAGTCAGATGCCTTAGGTATTATGCCACCAGAGCTCCTTGGTGAAGATTAGGATATCAAAAACACAAGAGTGAAAAATGACAGAGGAACTTACAGACTTTCCTTTTTGAAATAGGAGTTGATTTCCAGCAAGGGTAAAATAGCGGGTTTTCCACCTTTTGATGAACTTCCATCTGACTTGCTTCTCTTTAAGTTTTCCTTCTATGAGAGGCTGGCCATCTTGATTTACAACTGTTGAAGGTAACAGAATGATCAAGCCATTTATTTTCCATTATTTGTTTGGCAAGTGATCAAACGTCAGAAAGAACTGAACAGTGAACCAGAACTGAGTAAGTATATTTGGAAAGTGGGCTAATGAATTATAAATTTGGTTAATCTCTTCCTTTTGTCCTAAAAGAATGCACAATTCAGATATGATAAAGCAAAAAGTATTGAAGACTCTCACCAAGGTTTTCAAAAGGAATATAGTTCACAAAATGAACAGCTGGTTAGCAATTAAGTCCACCTAGATACTTAGCTTTCTGTGCTTTTTAGCGTCTTTGTATTAGGGCATTCTACTTCTTAGATTGGAATGACCAAATCAATTGAGAACGGGGTTTGAAATTTGGGGCACAAAATACCTAGTAAGCCGTAGGTGTCAGTTCCCACTAATGACGTTGCCAGTGACTAGGTAAATGTGAAACCTGAACTGCTTAGACATATAGCTTTAAGAATAATTATAGACCAAGTATATTGAGCTATTTGGAAGCAAAAGTCAATACAGCACTCTAAATAATGTTTCCATAAAGCAATTAACACTAAGCCGCAAAGGCAAATTTACCCAACCTTTGTATGAGTTATTTCCACTCTCTGTAACACACATACTCTCTCTCCACTCTCCACGTTTTCCTCTTCACCTAGTCAACACCTAATCATCTTTCATATCTCTACCGAAATTTTGTGTCTTTTAGCACACCTTTCCGCAGCTCTAAAGCAGAGTGACTTCCCCTATTATGCTGTCGTTGTACACTGTGTCTTTTAAAGCAGGCATCACCCCTTGTAGGCAGTAACTGATTGGTGCTTATCTGATTAATATCCTTCTTTTTCATTTGATTGGAAGTTCCATGAGGACAAGGTCTTTGTTTCACTCACTGTTGTATCACTAGGCATCTAGCACAGTGCCTGTCAAATAGTCCAAACCAAAAAAAGAACCAAATTCACTGTCATCCAGTTGCTTCCAACTCATGTTGTTGTTGTTGTTGTTATGTGCCGTCGAGTCGGCCCTGACTCATAGCGACCCCCATTTGGGTTTCCGAGGCTGTAAATCTTTAGGGAAGTAGATTGCCCTGTCTTCCTTCTGCGGAGCAGCTGGTGGGTTTGAACTGCTGACCTTCCCGTTAGCAGTCAAGTGCCTTATCACTCACTATACCACCAGAGCTCCTTTGGCAAATAGTAGAGTATATAAATATTTGCTGAGTGAATCGATTGATTTCACATTGAAGTAGAACATATATGATTACACATAATTATTGAATTAGAAGATCCTTTACAAAGTTAGAAGTTTGGACTGAGGAATTTCATTCCTCTCACCAACTACATAAGACTCACTCATCCTTCAGATTCACATGAAACACCCCCAGAAGGGGGAAGAGGCAAGGGAAAGCTCAGTTTATAGGATGATAAAATATAATTATGCATATTTATGTTCAGCTTTCATAGCGTCTTGAAAGAAATGAAACCCACTGCATCTCTTTAAAATGTGGACATTACCTGTTTGACCAGATGAACACAACTTAATCTTCCTACCCTACCAATTGTGTGTTCCACGGTGGGTCAGAGAACTGCCTGAGGCAGCAGGATTTGTCCATCTTAACGGAGAATTTTCAGTGTAAGAATAATGTCTAGTTTTCATAAACAGACTTCTGTTGAGTCTAGTTTGACTTTTCTGTTATATATTTATTATCTGATGACCATTCAATTGGATGTTCTCTGAGGTCAGGGAACATCCACCTGGGGTAAATGTGAATGCCTATCAGGGCCATAGAATAAAAAGGTTAAGTAGACAATGCATAACAAAAATAGATATGAAAACACACTTTGCATATTGTTTGTAGAAATAGTCTTCCTTCCACAAAGAACTTAATTCTCTCCTTTTTTTTTTTTTTGAAACACATGCCTCCTTCATCTTTCCTGTCTCACTGTTGATAAAGACTTGTGGTTGTTGTTATCTCCCAACAAGTCAGCCCCGACTCTTGGTGAATAATAGAACAGGACACTACCTAGTCCTATGCAATCCCATGGTCAGTTATGAATGGTACTGTTTTGTTCCATCAGGTTTTCAATGGCTGATATTTGTATATATTTCACTAGATCTTTCTTTCAATAGAAATCTTAAAAAAAACCTCACTGCCATAGAGTCAATTCAAACTCATAGTGATCCACATTGGGATCCCAAGGTGGTAAATCTTTACAGAAGTAGATTGTTCCATCTTCCTTCTGTGGACCAACTGGTGGATTTGAACCACCAACCTTCTGGTAACCTGACTGTTTACCAGTCAAATGTCTTAGGCACTGCATCACCAGCGCTCCTTTTAATAGAGACCTAGCTACGGAGAAACATTTTTTCTAAGAAAAACAACAATGCAGCCTGATGAACCACTGGCAGCTCATCTTTGTCCTCTGCAGGGGAGATAATTCTGCAGGTGAGACTGTGACAGACTGGAGACACAGGAGGATGGGCCTTATTTAAAAGCATGTCAAAAGTTCCGTAGCTACTGTGCAGCAATGGGAATTTCTGTTGACATGGATTTTTATTTTTTTTCAAGAAAAGTCAGGAATACAAAATTTCATAAGAAATTTGATTGTCATATGTCTTTTTTTTTTCTTGGACCCCGTGCAAACTAAACAGAAAATATCTGAAGCCCAGATAGGGACATTGAGCAGTCATCTGTGACCTCTAGTATAACTGAAATGGAGATTTGCTACTTTGTAATAGAATTTGTGGGTGTTTTGATGGATATTTATTTTGGTTAATGTTATATCACATGTATTATTCAAATAAGAAGTAAGTATAGCTGCATTTTTCATACGGTTTACTTAAGAATAAGTAGCTACTACAAGTAGCTATCTGTGAACCTAAAGTAAATGAGTCATCATTGTCAACCCTAAATTAAGGCTAATAAATGAAAATAAATAATTTAAAATAAATATCAAATTTATTGTTAGATAGTGATAAGTTGTTGTTGTTAGGTGTAGTCAGCCCTGACTCATAGTGACCCTATGTACAACAGTGAAACACTGCCAGGTCCTGTGCCAGACTCATAATACTTTGTATATCTGAGCCCGTTTTTGCAACCACGGTGTCAATCCATCTCCTTGAGAGTCTTTCTCTTTTTTGCTGACCTTCCACTTTACCAAGCATGATATCCTCCTCCAAGGAATGGTCCCTTCTGACAACATGACCAAAGTAGGTGAGATGAAGTCTGGCCATTCTCGCTTCGAAGGAGCATTCTGACTGCACTTCTTCCTGGACAGATTTGTTAGTCCTTTTAGCAGTTCATGGTACTTTCAGTATTCTTCACCAGCACCACAGCTCAAAAGCACCAACTCTTCTTCGGTCTTCTTTATTCATTATCCCGCTTTCACATCCATATGAGGCAATTAATTGAAAACTCTGGTTGGGTTAGGTACACCTCAGTCTTCAAAGAGACAGACATCTTTGCTCTTCATTATTTTAAAGAGGTCTTTTGCAGCAGATTTGCCCAGTGCAATATGTCATCTGATTTCTTGACCACTGCTTCCATTGGTGTTGATTGTGGAACCAAGCAATATGAAATCTTTGGCAACTTCAATCTTTTCTCCATTTATCATGATGCTGCTTATTGGTTCAGTTGTGAGGATTTTTGTTTTCTTTATGTTGAGGTGTAGTCCATACTGCAGACTCTAGTCTTTAATCTTCATAAATAGTAAGTGGTTCAAGTCATCTTCACTTTCAGCAAGCAAGGTTGTGTCATTAGCATATTGTAGGTTGTTCATGAGTCTTCCTCCAATCCTGATGTCATGTTCTTCCTCATACAATCCAGCTTCTCAGTTTATTTGCTCAGCATACAAATTGAATAAGTATGGTGTGAAAGGATACAACCCTGACACACTCCCTTCCTGATTTAAAACCATGCAGTATCCCCTTGTTCTGTTCAAACAACAGCCTCCTGGTCTATGTACAAGTTCCTCATGAGCACAATTAAGTGTTCTGGAATTCCCATTCTTCTCAATGTTATCCATAATTTGTTATGATCCACACAATAAAATGCTTTTGCATAGTCAATGAAATACAAGTAAACATCTTTCTGGTATTATTTGTTTTCAGCCAAGATCCATCTGACAATCAGCAATGATATCCCTTGTTCCATGTCCTCTTCTAAATTCAGCTTGTATTTTTGGATGTTCCCTGTCAATATACCGCTGGAACCATTTTTGAATTATCTTCAGCAATATTTTACTTGTGTGTGATATTAATGATATTGTTCAATAATTTCCACATTCTGTGGGATCACCTTTCTTTGGAATGGGTACAAATATGGATTTCTTCCAGTCAATTGTCCAGGTAGAAATTAAGTAGTATGATGGAAATAGACACTGAATGAGTGACTTGGGAGGTTGGTGTCTACACATATAAGTGGTCAGGAAGAGCTCTGACATTCAAGATGACATTTAATCTGGGACCTCAGTAATGAGAAGGATCTCCCATCTTCTGAAAAGTCCTACAGTGGCTGGTACAGTGCATAGCTGCATAGCAGAGGGTAGGGAAAACAGGAACTAAAGAAATATTAATTGGCAATCAATATCAAAGAAAATATGTTGGTGTTCGGCTTTGCCTTACTAGGAAAATCTGACTTAGAGCATTCTTAAAACTAGTAATGCTCTTTCCAAATTAAAATTTTCCATAAACAAAGTGATTTCTTCCTTTGAGTGGCCTCCACAACCTACAGTTGCCTCAATTAAAGCATTTACTGAAAGACACTGAGTCTTCCCCACTATATTGGACATTCCTGGAGAGCAGGAACAGCCTTAGCACAGTGTGTGAGGGGCTCAGTGAATACACAGACTGCTGTGTATTGTGAAAGGTGCAGCAGTCTATGTGAGGGGAGGAAAGTTAGCTCTAAGAAGAGATCCAAGAGGAGAAAGCAAGGGCAAACAAACCACCACCAACAAAGACTCAGGTTAAAAATTAGATTGACAATTTTTCAAAAACG